CACGCAGCGTGCAACCCTGTAACCTAAACAATTCATAGTGCCTCATTCACCACAGTTCTTCCAGTGTGGCAGATAGGCGAGGGCATAATTTTAACATGAACTCATCAGAAAGATGCCAGGAGTAATACAAGGTGCACTTGAGTCACAATTCAAACCGTAAAAGGGACTGTTAGTGTTTCTAATTGAGTGCTCAAGCATTTTTACAGTTGTTGTATAGAAGGAATAATTTCCCACAAGATGGAAAAAAAAGTAAAAGCTAAAGGCTTTATTGCAGCGAGGACTGTAAGCAGAGCCTTACATAAAAGCCCCCCAAAAAAATTGCCAAGAACTGTATCAGCCGTAAAAGTCAGTCTGGCTGCAAGAGCTCGCAGGTACACTCCAAACCATATGCCATAGCAGCTTTACATGTAGTAAATTTATTTCTTTAAATATCTGGCAAATGTTATTTATTTTCCTTTAGTTTCCTTTCCTCCCTCTCCTTTTTTGTCCACTACAGTCTAAAGTCAGGTTGTCTCAATTATTTTTTGTCTTCTGGTCACTCCCAGGCAGCATCTGCTATTGCTCCCTTTGGGAACACAGATTTGCAGCCACTTTTTCTTTGCAACCTTTTATGTTGCACAGTCTCTCTGCTTTACCTTGATGGAAAGGAAGAAATTACCATTTGAATTGCAGAAATATATTCTGGAAAACAGTAACATGAAATTTCCATTTACTTAAAAGAAAAACTGTACCAGCTCCAAACAATTATCCATCAATAATGTATTTTCAACTAATCAAAGACCACATTCTTCTAGGTTTTTTGATGCTTTGCAGATGTTGTATATTGGTTTATACTGAGAATATTCATTATAATAAAATAAAATAATAATCTCTACAGTGATAAACATGACACCACCTGATCTGCAAGTAGAGCAGGAAGGAATTATTCATAGGTGGGGACCAACTTGTAACAGAGCTGCAATTCAAATAAATGTGTCCCTTTTTAAAATGTGTAGATAATATCAAAATAAAAGTAAATTGATTCTAAGTAGGAAATTCAAAATTAATTCTACCAGAGCTTTTCACTTGCGTGGGTCTTTTTCGCCATACTACCTATTCTCCTTTTTTCAACTTGTTTTAGTAACTTGGTTTTTTCAACTTGTCTTAGTAACTTGAGTTCCCTGCCAGAGCTGCGCCCGCAGCGCTGCAGGTAGCAAGCAGCATTTCCCTGTGTAACCCCACCTTCCCATCCTGCTGCTCAAGTTCAGAGACCCTTATGATATCTTCGTTTAGACTGATAGTGTTTCTTCCTCATCCTGGTACTTTCTCAACTTTGTGTTCAATTTTTTTTTATACTTAAAAGAATTGCCCATATATTCCAGCTAGAGATTTAATCCTGCTCTGGACCTCAAGCTTATTTAAAAAATGAATGTCTTTCATAAAGTTCAGCAGTTTTGTGAATTTCGAATGGATGGATGATAGATGGCACTTTGGCAGTTTGAGTATAGATTCGGAATTGATATAGAAAGAGTACTGATTTTTGTTTATTGTTTACTTTAAAAGTATTTTATTATGCTAATGCAATATACATTCCAGAAGTAGTGCTTTAACAATGTTTGGAAGTAAATTCTGAAATTAAACTATACTTAGGTTGGACTTGTGGGGAAAAGGAAGGTTTTACCACATCTTAATGCTGCAAATACTGTTACCAATACAGGCTGTCAAAATTTCAGTGAATACGTTCATCAGTAGTTAATGTTGGGGAGTTTCTTCTATATGTTCTACTCAAGCAGGTTATAATTTTTTTTTTTAAGATCAAAAGCATTTACATTTTTGAGGCTTTCTAAATATGCTGAGTTTTTATAATTTTTTTTTTTTTTTTATGTTGAGGTCCTGAAAGAACTGGAACACACCTAACAAATTCATTATGATCTGATACTTCGATGCCACACTAGAATTATTCCAAACTTCATGCAACTTTGATACTGCAAATTTGTTAGCAACCTTTAGGTGAATGTTGCTTCAGGGCAAGCGGCCAGTCTCTCTACTCTCAGTCGGCAAGTAGATGAATAGCGATGAGAGAAGGGAAACCAGTTTGTGACAAAAACCGTTTGTTGAGCTCAGACTGAAAATGGCCCATGAAGAAACTTCTCAGATTTAGTTGAAGCTTTTGACAGTCCCACTGTAAGCTCCCTGGCAATGGTTTTGTGAGTTCTACTGGTGCACCACCCAGCACCACAAAAAGAGCTACCAGCCCTCTGGGAAGAGATGCTCCTCTGCCTTTCATGCTTTACGAAAGCTGTTTGGTTGAGGTCAGTTTGCTTACATCATGTGAGTTCTACAAACTATTACTTCATAAGCGTATCACTTCAAATGAAGGTTAGGCTTTACCAAGTTACAGTAGCCATTTTCCTGTCTTCCAGAATAAAACTTTATTGAGTGCTGATGGACTTGCAAGTTTGGCACACTTGGGTCTATGGCTTCTGAAGGTTATTTGTACATATCGAAGGTTATTTGGATTTCATGTCTAGGTAGAAAAGATTAATTACCTAGCATGCTGTTAATAAAGGTATATACATTGATATAGGTATTATCTAGCATTCAGGGACCCATGATTGCACACAGTATGACAAGGCAATTTGAGAATCTGTAATATAGCAAATAATTGCCTAATAAAAATAGCTTTAACTGAGATGCTTGCATAATAAAAAAAAATTTTAATAGGCACAGGTACTAGTTCTTAATAGGACTCATTTATAAAACCAAGATGATTTACTTTACTAAACGTTTATTTTGTGACATTCTTAGCATCAATTAACATAAATTTGTTAGTTTCTTAACACCAGTTTGTTAGAATAATTTTAAAATTTCACAAGTGGAAGTCATCCTTTTTTAGCCTGAACTTTAATCTGGAGCCAAAAGAGAGGAAAAAAAACTCTGAAAGACTAATGGATATCACAAAATACATTTTCATACTACAAGAATCAACTCTGGTCTAGTTACTATAGTTCTGAAGGTGCATGATTACTGTTAAATCTGTCAGGTACAGTAACGCTTCATTCTTTACTAAAACAATGCAATATAGGTAAATCTAGTCATCAATCTATTTTTATTTTTGTTTATTTTTTAAATAAATTCTGACTCAACAGCTAAGTGACCAGTAGAGTTATCAACTATTGCAAGAATTGTTGTTTTGGTGACATGGGGGTACCATGCTGAAAGGTTTAATGAAATACCATTAAATTAAAAGGTTTTCATTTCTGAACTCTGTTTTAGGTAGCTTATTTTTTAGAATGCCTAAGTAAACTGAAAGCTATTTCCCACAAAAATGTTGCGTATTTTTAACAATAAGGCATCCTATTAGGAAATATAAAACATTTAATAAAAATGTGAACAGAACTCTGAAAGATTCTGGAAGTTTTCCAGTTATTTCTATCTTCTCATAAATTGTCCCTGTTTATGCATGAATATATTTTGTAGCAGGTTCTTTGAGCCCTGTTCTGTCAATTCTTTAATTATGAATTCAAACATTTTATACCCAAATGAGCACAAAAGACATGTTTTTAAAAACATTCGTTTTTTAAAAGTGGCTAGATATTCCTCTACTAGTTTCCCAATCTGACAGAAAAGCTTTTTTATATGCACTTGGAATACATGACCACCAATTAACTTGACACCAACTTGGCCTCTGTAATTCTTTAATCTTCCACGGTGGGATCTGTGGTTTGGATGCCTGAAGAAACTGTTTTCCCACCTTTCCCCTTTCATATTTAATTCCTCTTTTTATAGGTTAAATTATGTGGGATTTGTTGAAAGTACAGGAATCTTCATTATTTACTGCTGCTTTAAAATTTAGGTATGCTTTTCAGTGCTAAAAACATACAATCAAGGAGGAGAGAAAGGGATGGAGGAGTTTTCTGAGCCAATAATGGGTCTGGAGGTGGGCAGAAAACATCCTTACTAAGTGCTTTGCACTAATATTAGTGGAAAACAAAGTGTAGTTTTCAATGCGACATTCTTGGCACAAAAAACCTACTTAGTAAGTAAAACTTATACAATTATTCTGCTGATGCTTCTAGTTTAGAGAAGATTTTTCATGCTTATAAAAACAACGTTTACAGGTGTTTAAATGGGAAGAAATAACTACAATCAATACTTTATAACACTTTTTTTAATCTTGGGGTTTCTGTTAATAGTTCTCTGTACTGATACTTTATTCATGTTTTTTCTCTTGTATAATGCGTGGTGAGTAGTTTCTGGATCTTATGATTTCGATAGAATAAACCAGCGTACTGCTGGATAACTGAACGTGTGATAGTGTTGTTCATCTCCTCTACATTACCCTTTAAAGAGTAATAGCTTACTTTCTGTGTGGGCTTCTGATTAATGTGTTCTTCTCTATCTCCTCTACTGTTTTAATTCTCTTCCTCTCATAAGGGAAGGTTGTTTTCCTGGATTTTGTAATCTCTCTCTGTGGGAGATTTGTATGGTTTTATTCTGCTTAGGTTTTTTTCCAGACCCTATTCTTGATTGATAACTACAGAGGAATTCAGTCTGGGGGGAAAGACTCATTGGACTTTGGGAATGCCATATAGAGTCAGGCATTTTGGATATGAGTTATGTCTGCATATAATTGACATGAAATTATATGAGTAATCACATCCTTTAAGTCAGGAGTATGGGAAGTATGAAAGCTGAAATGATGGCTAATCACCATTAAAAGTGAAATTACCTGAAATTGCTCAAAATAGGAAGGGAAAGAAAGAAAGATTTTTAAAATCGAATTGTATTTTTTTGGTACCAGGTATATCGCTCAAATTTTTATCAAAATTAATGATCATTACTGATGTATGCTAATCTGTGTTGGTTTGGCTGCACTTGAGGTTATGCTAGCTCATATTATCCATTTTACTTTGTAAGCAAAGGCAATATGGAGAAAACCCAACCAACAAAAAAGACAACTTTGTCTTTCATATTTTACCAAATGGTACTAAAGGGTTTGAAATCATGTACTTCTGCAGGCCATAGAGACCCACCTCATTCGGAAATCAAGCGGGGGGCTGACATACATCGCTGAGTGGAAGGGTGGACTGCTTGAGCACAAGATGGGGCATCTCACTTGTTTTGCCGGAGGCATGTTTGCTCTTGGAGCAGACGGAGCACCTAACGACAAGACGGGCCATCACATCGAGCTTGGTGCTGAAATTGCTAGGACTTGCCATGAATCCTATGACCGTACAAGTAAGTACTGTACTGCAGAGTTTAGTTTCACAGTTGGACTTTGTGAAGACAGCCATCGGTATTTTTGCGTAATGCTGAATGAAAGTTAAATTGATGAACTCTTCATCCTTTCTGAGCAAATGCTGCTTTGCTCTAAGAGTAACTTTAATAATGGCTGCTCTGTTTTATAAATAATTTCTGTGCACCTGAATCATATCTACTCACTCTAGTCATTAACATGACAGCTTTTTTTCCACTTTGCCAATTTCCGAATGCAAATAAGAGAGGGAGCCTGTTCATTTATGCATCAATATAGCTATTAATCATGTTTTATGCACAAAAAAGTATTTTATTCTCAGTTTTGTTGGTACAGTGCTGCAAATAATAGAATTGCAGTGGATTTCTGTGCAGCAAATTTCTTTGAATTCTTTCATCTTCTTATAAAAGTAACCCTGGCAGCATTTCAGGTCCCAGAGTGTATTTTCCAGTTTGATATAGAAAAGTAAATATCCTTGTCTTTTAAGCAAAATTTCACATGTTGCTAGTTATATGAAGTCTTCCAGAATGCAAATGTTAGCATCACTGTTCAAACTGGAACTGCTGTTTAAGGCATTGATGAAGAACAGCTCTCCGACTCTGAATTATTTACAAAATATTAAAAACAGGAGTTGCAGCAGTATCTTTCAGAAATTATAAACTTTTTGGGTTACCTGACTTTGTGCTACATGAAAGGATAGTTGATTTATTAGGTTGCATAATTTAAAACCTTGTCTAATGCCTTTATTTTAGCATGTGTTTTTATATTGGCTAGGCATGAAACTGGGACCAGAAGCCTTCAGATTTGATGGTGGTGTTGAAGCCATTGCTACAAGACAAAATGAAAAATACTACATCCTACGACCAGAAGTCATAGAGACCTACATGTACATGTGGCGGCTCACTCATGACCCAAAGTACAGGCAGTGGGGATGGGAAGCTGTAGAGGTAATGTTCTGTTGAACTTATTTCTTATTAAATCCTAATATGTTGTTAAGTGAGCTACTGAATTATATCTGGATATTATTTAGCAGTTGGAGAGTAAATATTTTAAATCAGTAATATCAGCTCAAATTTCCAGAGATTCGTTTACTTAATAGATGAACTAAGATCATTTTGACAAAACCAAATACTGCTGGTATTGTGTATTAGAAAAATACCTTGTGATTTCTCCTTCTTAAATACTTCTCACATCAGGGTCATAGTTGGATGTACTGCTCAAGATGTTGAGTATTGCTGCGTGTGAATGGAAAGTGCAAACGTGTGTCAAATTTGAACCTTCGATGTGCAAATAAGTTTTATGAAGTGTATTTTCATGGGTAATTGTGTGAAGGTGATGGAGGCCAAGATGAAGTACTGGATAGTACTGAACATTTAAAAAGTGGGTCACTTTCAGAAAGCATAGGTCATCTGGACTGAACTCTATTAATGATAACAGTCTCTTCTAGATTTAAGTTTCTGTGACTCACCAGCCTTTGAGCTTCAACCAGTCATGCTGAACCTATTTGTGTTTGGCTAGCACAAGCCTTCCAAGAGGGCAGCTAGTCTGTACTGCAAAAATTGGCTTGCCAAATCCATTGTTTTCCTTATTTCAGTGGTTAATCACTCTTACTGTTAGAGATGAGAGTCTTTGGATTTACCGTGTTTCATCCTCCAGGTATACGGTCCTTATTACACATCCAGAGTTCACTTATTTTCTCCTCACACTGATGTTGTCTCCTTGCTAAATTAACTGCCTTTCACTCTTACTGTGGAATTTCTAAGCAGACTGAGATCTTAAAGGAGATACAGGAAGCTGAAGAACTTTATTTTTGCAGGCCTGTATACTTAAAAAAATGCAGGAAAAAAGGAAAACAAAACTCTGCATAGTATTTTGTTCGCAGAGACCTCCCCTTTGCAGAGTTACTACTTTCCAGGAATTCAAAACCATCCTGTTTGGCAGTTTGCCCAACACCTCTTGTTTCTAGGAGTGTCCTGCTTAGGGACATGGTTTAGTGGTGGGATGGCAGGGTTAGGTTAACAGATCTTAAAGGTCTTTTCCAACCTAAAGATTCCATGATTCTATGATTTTATAACTTCCCTGGAAGGGCCTATAATGCTAGTTGTAGAAAGTTGCTCTGCACTAAGGGAAGAACATGTAGACTTGTGTGATGCAATTTCTCATCCCTGAGGGACCCTATTAGAGAGCTGTTACTGCATTATGGCTCCATATAGCTAGCTGCGACATGACATCTGCCAGTTACCTGGCTCCCTCAACAGCAACCAAGTTCTGTAATTGTACTCAGTATTCACTGTGTGAGATCCTGAACGTATCTCAAATGCTGTGCAAATGTTGTTGTGTTGTGAAAAAAGAGCATTTCAAGTTTGATAATTAGATATTCTTGAAGAATGAAATTTATGGTAAAATCTGCTTTCCATAAAATAATAGCTGCTAGCATTAACTATACTTCTACTCTCTAACTCCTCCTTGTTTTGAATATTCACAGCAATTCCATATCTGCAGTCAACACTGTATTCAGCTAGGTAGACTGTAGTTACTTAGGACATTTTATTTGCCTCCCTCAGGTGTTGACTCTATCAGCCCTGAAACTATGCTTCTGAGTTAATGATTCCAAAGCAATTTTATTTTTTTTAAGACTCTTAATTTGGAGTGCTGTTCCCTTACTGTCTTCTTCGCTAACACCACCCATAGGCATGCATTTTACTACTGGAATCTTTCCGGGCAGATTTTAATTGGAATATTTACAATGGCTGTTTATGGAAGCCATCCCACCAGGCTTCAGCAATGCCAAGTGTTCTTTCTCCAGGAGATGTTTTTCCTGACTCATTGTTGCTGCCCACGCTGATAACATTATTATAAACAATTGAAATGTTTCTCTTATTATTATTCTTTACCCTGTTGGTTCCATTTGTTTGTGTTTATTTCAAGTTTGTACACTCATTTACCTTCTTAGCACTCCCCATGTGTTCCTTGTTTAACATTCTTGTGGTTACTCTCAGCTGGTTCTAAGGTAGTGGATTAGAGCCCATGTGTGGGAGATGCAGCTGGTCCCATTCTGTACAGGCCACTGTCCTAGTGTGCAGTTGTGCGCTTCACAGAAACCTTACAGCTTCACAGAAGTTATACAGTCAGTTGTAGGTTTCAAATCTTTTTTTCTTTTTTGCTTCTTCCTTGATGTTTCTCGCTGTACAGCTGCACCTGATACTGTACTTTTTTGTTCTAGCACATGTCCTGGTAGCTTACCACAACTATTTCATAAAATCTGCTCCCTCCTGCTCCAGCAAGCACCTCACTCCACCCTTCTGTTCTTGGGGAAGTCCCTGAACACTGGCTAGGGTTGGTTTAATTACCAGCACCTGTTGCACAAAAGGAAGCTGAGATTGAAACAAGAAAAAAGGGGCGACAGTCAGACCATTTGTTGTTTCCAAAAAAAGTTGGTCTTCATGTGTTTCATGTCAATTTTCAACTCATGACACTGGCAATAAGAACTCATTAGGTTTGTTTCCCACTGCCCTTGTAGTAGAAAAGGAGGCTGCTCTATAGGTCATGACTTCTAAACTCTCTAAGAAGTCTATTAATTCTTTCTTTAACTTTTGTAGACTAAAAACGTGCTCTAGCCTCTCCATTTTTGCTTTGGAAACTTGCTTTGCTGCTTTGAGTCGAGTCCAAGATCATTCTGTACATACTTCAGCAGTTGGAGAAAATGCAGTTATGACCAACAGCAATATCCACTGTTACCCAGTCAGAAAGGTTTTATCAGCTTAGCTCTTGAAAGTCTCCCTTTCTGCATTATAAATGCAGCACATATTTTGAATTCACAGCACTTCTTTTGTTTTTTCCCTTTATGATATTTTGAGACTCTCAGCCAGTTTTCACACTGCTTGATGTTTTCCATTACTCTCGCATAACCGATCTCAGCCACCCTGATTTTCTGAGAACTACTAATTTAAAACGTGTTTGATTGTTTCTTCCCACCCACCACTACCCCACTGTCAATGTGAGCATTGCTGTACTCTGAAACTGCAGGTATGGGCAAAAAAGGCCATTGCTGCCAGTTAAAGGAGGGTGACAACCAAGAGCCTTTTTATCGTAATAATGCCACGCGTGAGCATCCTGTTCTTTAGTTAAGCGGAAAGTAGCTTTGAGGGGTAAGATACTTCACATTTCCATCAAGTAGATCCCACCAGATGGCTAACATGGAGCAAATTAACCTCTTAGTTTCCATCATAGCAGTGTGTTCAGGTGCCTGTATGGAATCTCCCTACAATGAACTCATAAAGAAGGCTCTAACCACTTTAGAGCACATAAACCCCAAATGCAATTTGCTTTTATTTTACCTCACCCTGTTTAGAATGCAGATGTTTCCTTGAATAACAGCCTTATCCTTCAAGCTCTCCTTCTGCTGCACCTTGGAAAACATAATCTTGTGTTTGACATTGAAAATTCAGACACAGATTCAGCATTTTGAATTCATTGCAGGTTGAAGTAGACGAGAGGGAAGGAGTACCAGCCAGGGGAAATTACTTGTTTAAACTTAAGTATATTTGTCACTTAGTAAAAGCGTCCAGGAAAATTAAAGAACCTAAAGACACATAAGAAAAGACAAATAGGCCTGTTATATTTTAAAGGATATCTCCTGGAGAAAAATCCCTTTTAAATATACAATAGGCAGCTTACTCTCCAGTGAAAACTATGGAGAGCCTGACGTGCAAGCTAAATATATGCAGATAGCTACAGGGACTCCAGCAAAACCAAGGACGTTTAGGATACCTACTCACAGCACAATACAGATCTTGAACAGCCTTTAAAGCAGGTGGAGGTGATGGATTCCTCAGTAATTATTAGTGACTTTCAGTCCCATCTCTTATCAGAAAATGCTTATTCTGCCTGTTTGCTTTTTTTAGACATATCTTCTGCCTTTTCATAGCTTTTTGCCATATGTGGTCTCCCTAAATAAAATCTACATATCCTATAATCACTTCAATGATATTTGCAATAACTTCAGAAATGGAGGAACCAGTTGTCTTCCATCTCTCTGCCAGGGGGTTGATAAAGCTCCAGGTATTTCTGCCTGAAACTTGTTGCTCCAATACCTGTCTCCACAGCAAGCACCATGTTTCAGAGTAGTGTGGTCCTGAGTAAATGTAGTAGTCCATCACGCTTACCATCATTTTCATTGTAAGAAGTTATTTAGGGCTAAAGAGTATTTTCTGGTTTTGTTTTTGAATAATGAGTTGTATAAAATACAATCATCTTAGATTCTCTTCACTCCTTTATTATACTGAGTGATACCAGAGAGTTATTATAAAACAGAACAAGAAAAATGAAGAGGCTGAGAATACTTGTGACCTTGTTAAATAGGTCAACTATAAAGAAAAAAGATGAATGTTTTAAAACAAAGCAGTGATAGGAGAACTAATATTCAAATAAAGTATTGGATAGCAGTCTATTTAAAGACATTATGGCTCATATATAACCATATAGGTACCAGCTTTCTAATGCAAACACCTGTGTAAAATAAAAAAAAGCAGCAAAGTTTATTAAATAGTATAACCGTACATACCTTCTACACTTTCAGCACCAGCTACATGGGTTTTGCCCTTCTGTATACACCCTTCAAAATCAGCTGATCGTCTAGAACATTCCTGTGGGCAGAAAATAAATTATATTTTTAGGTGTAAAATAGGGATCAATCATCTGCTTTACTGTTTTACTTTACTTTTACCTGAATACACAGTTTGGAAACTAGTTAGAGAAAAACATATTCTTGTATCTAAAGCATGTTGCATTAAGTCCAGGCACATACTAGCTTTCTGTCTATGCCTGCCTAACAGACAAAGCTTTTTCAGAAAGGTATCAAAGAAAAATAGTACCTACTGCGGAAAAGAAATGCAGTCACAGCCCAGTATCAGAGGCTTCCCATTGAAAAATTAAATAATTGCAAAAAGAAACCAAACAACCTGCATAGAAAATAGAGTTGCCTTTCTTTTTTCCAAGCTACTTCCAGGAAGTAAGGAAAAGACTGGTCTTTGTCATGGCATTCACTTCTATCACAGTAATTTTTAAGCACTAAAATATGACCAAGAAAGGTATATGTGACACGATCTCTGAAGGCTGATAGACAAGCCCATGAGAGAGAGGCTGTTGTTTTTCCTATTAAGAAGAGGAAAGATAAATCCATGAAAATCCTTATACCTTTACATGCATATATCCATATGGATATATCTGAAACTTGATTTGTGTTCACTTCTTTTATTAATTTATCATTTTGCTTCTCTTCCTAAATGTAAAATTAGACATGTGCGCCCATGTCTTTTTAAAAAGTGTTCTATCTAGAGCTTTATCTGGTTTTCATCTCTTTATCAAGAAATCTGTGACAATTTTTTTTTGTTTTGTTATCAAACAAAGAAAAACTGACAGATGACTCATTTTGTTAATCCCACTGTCTTTCCCCCCCCCCCACTTCAGGCACTGGAAAAACATTGCCGAGTAGATGGTGGCTATTCTGGCATTAGAGATGTTTATAACAATCATGAAAGCCATGACGATGTGCAGCAAAGTTTCTTCCTTTCAGAGACACTCAAGTAAGTTAAGAAAGTTGGCTTGCATTAATATGAAGTAGTTTTATGCATCATCTTTACAGTTGTATTTATCATTGTACTAATGATATTGGCATTCACGTAACAAAATCTGACTAAAATAGTAGAGCTTTTCTTAGGTGACAGGAAGCCAAATTGACTTTTTTTTTTCCTTTTATATCAATAACTAAATTCTGTGACTTTTGGAAATTTTCTTTCCTTCTGATAAAAGTACTTGATAGTCTTTGTTGAGAAATTACGTCTTCTAGCTTTGATAGGATGTAATTATATATGCCAACACTAGTGACACAAATTGACTAGATAGAGGACTTATCAGGCTTGTATTGCATACTTTTCATTTTAAAACTACAGAAAAAAAAGAAGTCAACTTGCATGGTAAGCTCACACAGCCTGTTAAGAGGAAAAACAAAAGCTTGCATTATCTACCACTGTCTGCTAAGTTTTTAAGGAAATGAAGGAAGTTTTGTCTTGGTCTCTTCACTTTTTTTTTTTTTTCTGTGCAAGAAAAAAAAATGCAAAGACCAGAAAGAAGCAATCAGGCCATTTCAACAGAAAGTGTAATACTTAATTAAGCAAATGAAATACTGTAAATACATTTATATACATAGTGGCATTTTTTTTTTTTTGAGATAGTGCATGCCTCTACTATACCTTTTAAATTGGTCTATCAGAATTAGACCAAGAAAAGCCTTCAGGGAAGGGTGGTGATTAAGAAAAATAAAATTTCATTTGCTAAGCAGACTTCAACAGTCATGCTACAGTAGCTACCACTTTCTATCATGACAATGAATAAAATGTTGGATACTACATATAATCTACTACTAGTAGATTATACTACTTAATAAACCAATTGTTTATTGGTTACTGCTGGGTTTAATAGACCCTGTTGTGGTAAATGGCTGCCCAAGCTACTGGTCTAGTACTAGCTTTCTTTAAAAATCCTAAGCCAGAGGTTGTTCTCAGAAGTAAGACAGGATTGGACTATAATATTTTCATTCCTACACCTTGGTATAAGTGGACATTCGGGAGGAAAAAATTACTATAGTTGTATATTGTCAAAACAATATGTAATAAAGTTACGGAGGAGGAAATGGAAGTGAAGTGAACTGATATTTAACCTTGCTAGCCTGAACTTTGTCCTCTGTCAGGACAGAGGTATTCTTTTCTTGGTCTCCAGTTGCTATTGCCCTTGAGTCCAATCTGAGTTGAGCAGCCCCAGAGTTTCATGCTGCTCATTGTGGTGCAGGGACTTAATGGTGTTTTGTGTTTGGACAGCTGTTTCCATCGATACATTCGTCTACGGAAATCGGGTATTTATGTTTTCCTGAAAACTACTGTAGTTTCACTTCCGTGATGTGGTCACATTTCCTGCTTTTTTTCTTGCCAGGTACTTGTATTTGCTGTTTTCTGAAGATGATCTTCTTCCATTTGAACACTGGGTCTTCAACACAGAGGCTCATCCTCTCCCTGTTCTTCACAAAGACGATGGGAATAAAGAAGAAAACCAGAAATAGATGAAGATTAACTTATACTTTGTTTCATTCCTTCTGTTTCTTTCCAGGACTTGGCACATGATTTGGTTTTAAATTCCTGAGTTAAATTTTTAAATCAAGTGTTTTGCAGTCTGTTTTCTTTAACAGTAAATATTTATGAATGGACCCCAACTGATTATGATAAAACTTCATTCCTCTTATCCAGCTGAACCACTTTGAAGACGAGAAATAGGACATCTCACCAAATCTTGTTAGGCTGCAGTGTCATCTTGGCCAAAAAGAGCAGAGGGTCTGCGTGTTACTTGTTTCCTGTTATGCTTTTAATTTGACTGCAAAATTCTTTTCTCCTCTGTGAGGAGATGTCTGCTTTAAGCTGTAATATTTTGCCATGTTGCAAAAAGCCATATTGAATTAAGTATAAAGAGCTTTTTTCTTTTTTTTTTTTTTTTTTTGTTCTGTGTTGATTTGTTTTGTGTGTCATCCAAGACAAATCTTGTGACTGTGACAGCCTCTTCTTATGCGGGTCTATCATTACTTGGTAAAGTATCTGATGTATTTCATTGTCAATGAAGTCTACATAGGAATATTTTCATCTCATGCAGACATGACTCTGAAACTGCAGTACGCATTGAAGTTAGACTAAACTAGTTCCTATGAATTTAGCACATTAATTAGCAGACCTTAGTTTTTCAGGTTTTTATTAGACTATTGTAATAGAATAAATTGTTTCCTCCCTTTTCTAAGTGGTGTTATTCTCATGTCTTTCATCAGGCTACTATGGATTAAAATAAGGTAGTCATTTCTTATTAAGGAAGGGAGTCTTTCTTACCTTCTTTATAGATTTAGTCCAGTAGCTTTCATTCGGTTGGATGGTAAAAAGACAAAAAAGTACTCGATGACATTTTCCTGGAAGCTGAGAATTATACCAGAGACAATTTGTTTGGTTTTCTGGGACTTTCTCAAACATTCAGATAGGTTCAGGCTTGACACCAGACTTTGATAGTTTATTGTCACAAAGCAATTTAATGTATCTACACAAATAAAACTAGATGTTTTAAACTAGATGCCTTGAGGAAAACTTGTCTCATTAGAAGAAGATAATCATTCAGAGAGGAAATTATCCAGCATGGAACTGAACTTTCTGAAAGCACCAAGTCTGTCTTTGAGTGATGGAAATGCAGTGTGGTTAAAAATATTCCCTAGATTAGAGGCCTGGCTTACTAAGAAGGGTAATGGCTTTGCCAAAAATGTTTCACTTTGGTGATGCCACAAAGGGGGGGGGGGAAGCATGATTAAGTCATTAACTCCTGCTTCTACTTAAGTGTAGTTTGGAGTGGTTTACATGATTATTAAGTCTGCCTATGTTTTCATTTAGTGACAGGGTGACTTTCATGCACTTTGAGTAGGATCTAACACCTGGCTTCCCATTCTGAGAAAGCACATTATTCACCAGTTGGTCTGCAGCAAAACAAATATGGTTCTGAACAGTAATCTTCTTTAAAGGTATTCAGTGAGATAGCTCACATGTCCAGCATAGCTCATCACAGCTGAGGAAGCACAGTTTTTTGTTTAGGCATTACAGAGTACATTTATTTTCTATACTGATCGAGGTCTGCAATGTAGATTTTCTTAGGTAGAAGCCAAGAGCAAAGATGTAATGGGTTACATTTTTGTACTTAGGAGCTGGAGGCTGACCCATAAACTTGACCGCCTGGAGTCTGTAGAGACAGCATTGCCTCTCGGCTCCCCCTGCAGCTAGAGAAGATGGCATGTGCCACATGAGCTGCCAAAGCCATTTGTGTAGGGGGTAAGGCAAGAGGAGCTTCAGTGCTGCCCATCCTTCCATCACAGGGCTGGCAGAGTTGTGCGTTCGTACATGGAATTTAACAGAGGTATTCTGCTGAGCCTGGGCAACCCACCGCTGGGAGAATGAATACGAATGTATGTGCATCTGCCTCAGATAAAGCCTGCTTACATGGAATCAGTACATTGGCTCAATACTCTTTGCTTTACTGCCTTTTTTTTTTTTACTATTATTATTTTCTTTTTTAAAATATGGATTCCCTCATGTCTCAGTAACAGGTTTCTGAAACTGAACGAGCAAGGATGAAGTCTGTTGAAAAGCAGAACTCCTACTGATTCTGATCCTCCAGAATTTGTATCTATGGAGGACTATAATAGTTCATTGTGTTGCTCCAGAAACTGTATTGGTAAGGGATTCTGCTGCACGCCCCCCACCAAGTACCACAGAAATTATAGCTATGGAATTAAAAAAAAAAAAAAACAAAAAGAAAACCAAAACCCACAAAAAACACCCACACCAAAAACACACACCAAACTCTTCCCTCTTTAACCAGAAATTAGTAAGATAACTAAGACTTCTGTTTTAGTTCTCCTTATTGGGTCATCTGCTGCTGCTTCCCACATGGTTGTGCATGCACTGCTGTAAGCCTCATACCAGCTGAAGAACTACAGTAGCTCAGACAAAAACAGCCTTTGAGGGATGGGCTTGGTAAGCCTCTTTTTATGTGGTTTTCTTAACCACAATACCCTTCCCCTGTGTGTCCAGTGGCCTTGCCACTTAACAAGCCGAAGAGAAACAGCAGAGAAGCAGAGCGCTCTTCTCCAGGTTTCAAAAAGCAGGCTACAAACACAAAATTCTTGTATGCCTTGGGTCCTATGTACTCAAAGAGAAGAGTCATGACTGTTTCCTTGTAATACAGACATTTAGTATGAATATTTTTCTTAGTTTGGGAGTTACGATGATTTGAAAGAGCACAAATTTGATGTGACTGGTATTGGTATTCAGGTTGTATGTACAAACTGCACTATACTGTACTTTTTGTAAACTAATGTAAGTAGACGAGAAGATTGTACAACGTGTAGATCTGCCAACTGTAAGAAAAAAAAAACCTTTTCATAAACTGAGAATATATTGATTTTCCTTCCTTTTTTTTTTTTTAAATAACCCCAAAACACCAAAGTTAGAGCAATCATTTTGAAACAGTCCGTACTTACCACTGCCTGTTAGATTGCTAAGATAACACGCGTCTTATTTCCAGTTCACTGAACTAGCTGCATGGGAGCGGCTGGTGACGGTCACTTTGCGTTCCCAGTCATTCATAAGAGCAAAAGAAATTGCTTCGGGCAGGGGGAGGCATTATCTTTGCATAAACACACTGTCTGTACTTTCTCCATTCCTCTGTAGCATAATAATGCATTTAAATCTACATATGTTAAGTCCTAAGAGGTAGATCACTTTCAATGGACCCACACTGTTTCATGGGGGGGGGGGGGGGGGGGAAGTTTTGATTGTGAGATAAGTATTGCACATGTGTTGGTTGTACACAGATTTTTGCAATGCCCAATAGCTCACTGTTTCTATGGTGACTTCATCATACATATTACCCATTTCTGTCATGCATTTAAATTGTTTTTGATTTGTACACAGTCCATTTAGTCTTTTCATCTTTATATAAACTGAAATTATGGAATACATAATAGATCAAGATGCTTAATTTTTAAGAACTTATATTTGTAAAAATTTCTCTATTGTGAATAAAGTCTTTTAATATATCTGTTCAACTTGTGACAATTTTTCCTAAGCTTTTTGGAAAAGTAACTACAGGAATCTGCTGCATAGTCTGGTTTGGATGCTACACTCATGAATTTTGTCAGCAGATTGGGTTGATAGGGATTAGTACTCTGTGTACTTGTTAAGATACTATTGTTAACTAACGTTAGTCAGTGTATAGAATTGCTACCACAGAAATAAATTTCTAGACATTTTTGTCAAGAAAATTCACCCTACCAGATGTATTTGGGTAGAAAGTGAGCTGACTAAGGAAAGGCGGGGAGCCAGGAAGTCCGAGGTGGCAGGCAGTAAGCAGAGTGAAGGTCAGTCGCTCCGACTCCAGCTCTGCACGGTACAGGCAGGCTTCACTAAATGCCACTTGGGAGCAAGCAGCGGAGCGGAGATGACAAGGCTGTCACGGTGCCCAGCGTTACATGATCAAGTAACGAAACGCTATCGTTAGTCCGTGCTCCAGAGGAGAGAGGAACAGTTGTCATAGGAACTGTAACTACATTTTGTGTCAGAAGGACATGTCAGTAAGATATCCCATCCAAATGTTGAAATAACAGCTACGCCTCATAGATAACCCTTGTTTTCTCTCTTTAGTAGAAAGCCTCATCCAAAGAGGGCGGTGAAATAAACTGCCACGATTTTACAGAACAGTCTCAGTAGCATCAATTTCTGCCAAAGGACTTACTCGTTAGGCCTCCTTAAGCAAGTCATTTCTGAGGGTAGCCTTAGATCTGGGGTCTCGTTTTTCCAGCATGGTCGCAGGTGTGGAGCTACAGTGCGACCCTTGGGGTGGTCAGCAGGCAGCCCCCGCCTGTAGCTGGCTTCAGGACCACGCAAGCTGCCACTCAACAAGTTAAACGTGAGCCTGTGCAAACCTTGGTGCAGCCTGTTACTCACAGGAGATACGAATACAAGCCTGGGTTAGAATTCCAACCAGTTTGGTCTTTTAATTGGATGCTTGGTGTGGTTTGTTTTCTACAGGGGAAAAAGGAACTAGGACCAAGTTGACAACTGGTCGAGGTTAACAGGATTTGCCCCGCCATCTGCATTGCCCTATGGCCTTGCTCTATCACAAGAGTAACTCGGCACTCATACAACAGCATCTGCTATGGAAACAGCCCTTCAGCTGATCCGCCTTAATCTTGGGATTAGGCTGTCCTGGCTGATCTCAAATGCAGGAGGAAAGATTATGCATCAAAAAGCAGACTGCCAACCCCAGGAAATGGTCGCAGAGACTCCCAAGTTCCTGTCTGAACACTGCAAGAAGAGATAAAATGGGTTTGCTCTCTCCTGGTTTTCTGCATTCGTAGATGCACAAAGTGATGGATGGAGCAAGTCACAGCGCTGCAGAACCCAGTTAGAGCCCAGCAGGCTGTTTGTTAGCGTTCAACAGTACCTCAGAAGGCAACAGTTCAACCCTCTTTTCTCAGGTATCTGCTCTTCTAGCTGCACCAGCTCTCACTCACCCTGTAACGAAAGTCACCATAATCAACTTCCCCTTTGGAAGCCCCTCTCTAGAACTTTCACGTGCTCTCCAAATTTCTTGTGCACACTTTGTGGCTGACTTTGTGGAAGCCTGTTTGCCTTTCACCACTCCCATAATGACATTTCACAGGACATTAAAGACCCAGCTCATTAATATTTTATCCCTCCGCTTCAATTGTGCATTGCTTTCACACCATCAATCAGAGTAGCACAGAGCTACTATTAGTCTTGAGCACCTCATGTTAGAAAAAAAATAATAAAGCTGTCAGTGTGACTTTATTATACTGTCACATTCTGGCCACCAATTCATCTGCCAAGGAGCATCACCCTATGACAAGAGGACTTGCTGGTACTCCAGAAGCTCAGAGAGGTGTTACAGTTGGCAATGCACATACATAACAGAAGAGCCCAAAGTTATTTATTTCAGCCATGGGGGATAGTTAAAAGATTCTGATGCTACTAATAATGATCCTACAGTAATGGTAGGTTTTTAAAAGTTCATCAGGATGCATCCAAAGGAGCACAGGGCAATGGCATACTGAGGCACCATGTAATACCTAGTCCCAGCTACTCCCAGATACTTGGGAGTCAGCCCATCAAAGGCCCACCTCCACACTGCTGGAGGAGCACAGGCAGGTGGGAACCCCAGTGAGGGACTCTGAGGAAAGGCCATCCTGTCCAGGCCCCCTCCCAGGGCTGCCCCTGGACAGCCTCAGCCCTAGTGCCCAGGTATCCACCCATCAGGATGAGTCAACAGGAGCAAGTCTCCAGAGCACCTTAGCAGGGGGCATTGCCAAGGAACACGCAAGGGAAGAGAATTTTGGCATTGCACAAGACTTAAAGGTGGACAAAGCAAGGGATATAGGTGATTTCCCATGAGCTTGCATGAGTGCTGAGTACGTCTGTGCTGATCATATACATATGTGCTCTGTATAGGTATGTCTGTGTGCGCATGTGTCTACTGGGAACAAGTGCTCAGCCCCACTTCTGGCTGGACCCAGGGCACGGAGCTGCAGCAGCCTCACCACTGCCAAGCTGCCAGATTCAGCTGCCCCAACACACTGCGGCCCAGCAGCTACCGACAAGGGGGAGGCTTTGGGAGTGCCTGTGCAGTGGGCAGCTCTGTCACTGGCTGACCTCAGCTGGTTTGAACTTAGTTTGCTAAATGATACAGTCAAAGTTTTTCAGCGTTCTTCCACTGCTGTAAGATCTCACAGTTGTAACCCTGCTGCTCGTACCCAGCAGTTCAGATATTATTGTCCATCTTTTATCTCTAGCTGGAGCCTAGTACTAACTTTCACCTGCTAAATACTTGCTGTTTAATAACCAGCACTTTTTCTCCCAAACAACTTTCTATTTTATTCCTTGAAGTACCTCAACTGGTACAAAATACTTCTGTGCTTTAGTCCTACTTTTCTCAATCCAGCACTGTGTTTGCTGCTGGGGGCACCTCCCTTAGCTCCAAGTACCTCAGGTCCCCCCAAGCCCCTCTCAAAGATGGAGACCATTTTCACAGAAGTACATTCTCAGAGCTTGCTGCTTGAAACATAGAAGTCACTGCTGCTTTCTCCTAGCATGTTAGATCCCTTAACTTCAAAAAAAAAAAAAACCAAACAAAAAAACCCCACCAAACCAGAACAGGAGGAGGTGCATAACCCTGCTGTTTTCAGGTTTGCTATGTCCAATTGTATATTCAACCCCATGAGAAAAAAATGTTGCTATGTATTGTGAAGAGCTATATCCATAAGCTTCATTGTGGCTCCTCAATTTGCAATTTAAAATATTACGATGCCCCATTTGAAAAGTACAGTCCACAGAATTGTATAGCAGGAGGGACAAAGTAAGTGATGAGCAAAACTATACCAAATGCTGCATTTACAAGGAGTTTTATTACAATGTTATTACCTTTTAGCTGTTCAGCCACTGTCACTTTCTATTCCATTTGCTTCTAGGTTTGATGTAATTCTTATCTCCTCTTGTATGCATTTCAAGTGCTTTTCCTAAGAAACTTGCATTCAGCATAGGTGGTAACAACTAGCCAAAAGCAGTCCATGTTTAAAAAAAACAACAACTAAACAAGAAACACTGCAAGGCTTTATGTTACTTTAACTGTTGAGCTACATTTCAATGGTACACAACTAAGCAGAAAAAGAACTTATTCTAAAAACATTTTTCATGTGCAATTCCAATCATTACAGTTTATACAACACCTTCGAATCTACAGCTGCACAACAGTTTTGTGATTTGTCTCAGCCATC